GGGGGGGGGACGAGAGCAGGTGCAGGAGACATTCCCTCCTGCAGGACCAGAGGCCAGGCCTCCCTGGACAGAGACTGTTGGATCTCGAGGAGCCGCCCAGTTGTCAGAGGATGCCTGGCATCTTGCAGGGAGGCAGCGCGTGTTGTCAGGCAGCCCGATTAACTTAGAATCGGCCAGAGCTTTATTGTCACTGTGTGCTGGTCGCCTGTGGGGAAGCTCTGCCGCTGACCCACTCAGGTGGCCAACCTGGCACAGGCAGGCCTGGGCTGGCTGTTGACTTGTGGTTTTCTGGGTGAGGCCTGAGGCCCCCATCTGGGCAGGATCACGATCTCAGCTCACCAGGCTCTTCCTGATGGGGCAGGAGCCAAGTTCCGGCTCTTCCTGGTGGACCAACAGCCACGTGAGCCTTGACACGGGCTGGGCGCTCTATCATGGACCAAGGAAGGGAGACAGGGGCTGTCCCATCCTTCTCCAGGCCTCATTAGCAAGGGCCAGCAGTCTGGACCAGCTGACCAGGGATTCTGAGGCCCCAAGTGCCCCCTAATGCTCTGGCAGGTTTCTTTTCTACATTCTGGTCTTTCTTCACATGCCAGCCAGTTCATTAGACTTGATGGAGCTCTATTTCTCCACTGCTCTGCCCATTCAGAAGGCCCCCAGGGCCCCAGGATGGTTCCTTCTACCCAACATGGCCCCTGAGTATCCTGATAGGTGGGAGCCCACCATCAAGATTTAACTTCCTTTTTCTTTTTTTTAAACATGTTAACAATTTTATTTATTTATTTTAAATTGATTTTTAAAGAGAGAGGAAGGGCGAGGGGGAGAGAGAGAGAGAGAAACGTCAATGCGAGAGGGATACGTCGATCAGCTGCCTCCTGCACACCCCCTACTGGGGATCGAGCCAGCAACCTGGGCACAAGCCTTGACAGGGAATCAAACTGGCGATCTTTCAGTGCACGGTATAGCACCCAACCAACTGAGCCACCCTGACCAGAGCCAGGATTTAATTTTCTTGCTCCTGGCCTGTTTGAAACCCTCACCGGCTCCTAGTATCCACAGCAGAAAAAGAAATTTGCAAAAAGATAGACAGAGACAGACAGGGGAGAAGGAGAGAAAGGGAAGAGACGGGGAGAGAGACCCCTTAAGACAGAGAGAGGCCAAGAAAGGTGAGGCAGAAACAGATAAAGATGTGAGAAGGGGATAGACAGAGGAAGGGAGAGAAAGAGAGAGAGGGCGAGAGGATGTGGAAGGCGAAAGAGAGAGACAATGTCAGATGCACACCAGTCACTTTAGTTGGCGTCTGGACATGAACTCGCTTGGTCAGAGTTATTCCTTAATTCTCTTTGTTTTCCTAAGCACTTCAAGGCGAAAGTCGCACTCGATGCTTAGGTGCTTTTAACACTGATCTCTTTTTTCAATCAAGAAGGAAACAGGAAAAGGCTCAGGCTTGGGGCCTTCCAGAGACAATGGAGTCTAGCTAGGATTCTGCTAGTGCTTGCTTAGTATTTATGTTTGAGGTGACCCATTACAGAAAGAATTATTGGTTTTCCCTTAAAGACAGTGATTGAGGTTTTCCTTTTAGAATACATTTATTGATACTTTAAAAGTTTCTTAGCAAAAAAACAAGTAGCAAGTAAATGATAATATGTACTTTGGGACTATGACAAGAATCATGAAAGTGATTCTCCAGTGTCTAGAGTTTGGCAAACAGTGGCCTTTATGTCTAAACTTCTCAGCCAAGATAGCAGCCCTCGAGGTTCAAGGCCTGGACCCTCCCTATTGTCTTCTCCTTACCTCTGCTCAGTCCCCGACTCTGCCCGGTCCCTGAGTGCCCAGTCGCTGCCTCCTATTAGTCCCTGACTCAGTCCTGGACTGCCCGGTCCCTGATTCTGACAACCTTTCTGAGCCGCTTATAGGTCCCCAAACACCTGGAGGTCTCTAGCTCCTCTGCTTCTGTACACATGGTGTCCTCAGCTTGGAATTCTCATCCCCCCACCCAACTTTGTCCATAATGTCGACTCCTACAGCCCAGGTACCTCTCTGGGGAGCCTTCCCTGACCACTCCCTCACCCTGAGTTAATGGCTCCCTCCTGTATGTTACTGTGTACCCTTTACAAACCTGCACGGTTGCCCTTACGATGCTGTGCGGTACGTGGTTTTACTGTATTTATTTACACAAATAGGTGAGCAACGTGAAGGTAAGTGACCGGGCCTTATCCATGTCGTTTCCCTCTGCGCTGGGCATAGGGTGAGACACATGATTTAGAGCGATACCAGGCTTTGTCCAAAGTGTAAATTCCTATCTTCTCAATCAGGTCAGCAAACTACAGCTGAAGGGCCTGATCTGGCCCACCACCCAGTTTTGTGAATAAAATTTTATTGCAATGCAGCCATACCCATCGTTTATATATTATCTATGACTGTTTCTACATAGCTGAGTAGTTGCCACAGAGACCATCTGACACACAAAGCCTAAACGGTATTTGACCCTTTACAGTAAATGTTTGCTCACCCCTGTTCTAATGACAATAGGTCTGCTTGGATTGGGGGGAGGTTGGGGGAGCAGGGGGAGGCCCTGGGTATGTGGTGGGGGCATCAAGGTGGGAAGAGGGCTGAGAAGCTGCTGGGGGTGGACAGAACACCCTCCTGGGAGTCCACAGACTTGACTTTCCACCGTGGTTCTGCACTGACCTCCCGTGTGACCTTGGTGAGGGACTCTGGATGAATGCACGGTCCAGGGATAAATCCTTGACCATCTGTCCTCTCCCCCTCTTCCAGGGATAACCGAGATGCTCAGCACGCTCTGGAGAGGGACCTTGAGGACAAAAGCTCAGCCCAGTTTATTGATGAAAAGTGTTTTAACCTGAGGAACACATCAGACTGCATCAGCTTCTTCCACGGCGTGGAGAAGATCGATGGCACGTGAGTACCGGGCTCTTGGTCCCCATCTGGCCCTGCCCATGGGAGTGGGTCTGCTCCTGCCAGGCAGCCTTAAAGGCTCAGCATGCACCAGTCAAGCGAGAAGCGGTGTGGTTGATGGGGATCCTGGGTTGCAACCCGCAGTATCCAATTCTGGCTAAAAACTTAAGACAAGAGAGAATTTACTGGAAGGTTGTGGAGAGCCTCTGACTCACAGGGAAGGCTGGAGGGGAAGGTTCTGGCGGCTTGAATGAGCCGGGAAGTGAGAGCTAATCAGCTATTTTGTCAGATACCATCATCTTTCCATTCTCACTCCACTTTGTCCAAGATTCAAATTCCAGCAAGAGAGAGCAAGCGACTGGCTTAGAGAGGGTCACATGGCCACTGCTGCTGGGCCAGGACATGCTGGGGCGCCTCGATTGGCAGCCACCAAACAAACCCCACAGCATAATGGTTGTAGCCAGAGGGAGGAGGAATTCAAGCTCGGCTGGGAGGGCTGATGGACGTCCACCAGGGCTGGTAGTGGTGAAGCGTGGATTCTGCAGCCAGGCTCCCCGGCCTCAGGTCCAGCCTCTACACTAGCATGCGGGGTAAATTACTTCATCCGCTGGGCCCGTTGCTCATCTATAGCACTGGATTAATAATAGTGCCCACCTCCCAGAGTTGCTATGAGCATAAAAGTGTCCGCGTGGGAAGTGCTGAGCACACAGCCTCGTGTAGGGGAATGACAACAGCCAATATTTATTGAGTGCTTGCTGTATGTCTTCACTGACTCAGCACAGCAGCTATGAGGCTGTGCCTTCTGTATGCCAGGCACTGGTGTGGGCATGTCACAGCATCGGGGCACTTCATGCGGGACGAAAGCATGCTTTCCCAGTCCCAATTGGTAGCTTGAAGTCTGGGGAGAGAGACACAGTTTAGTACTGGCAAAGGGGGGTGTCTATCTTGGGCCCTTTAAAAAATCTCTAGCACATAGATTTGTGCTTGTCACATAGTAGGTGTGCAATAAATATTTGTTGAGAAAGAATGAATGAAAGGAGGAAAGGAGGGAAAGAACCAAAGGAAGGGAGGGAAGGGAAAAAGAAGGAAGGAAGGAGAGGAGTTTGTTGGCAGTCTTCTGGACCACGCCCAGGGTCACTTTCTGGATCTTGGTAAATATGGAAGGGTTGAGAGGACCCTTTGGAGTTCCTAGCAATGACAACTCCTGGGGACCTTTCTTTTCCTGACAAAGTTGACTACCCCATGGCACTGCCAAGGCCAGCAGGACTTAGGGGTTCAGTGCCCTCATCCACAACTGTCCATAAGGACAGGGAGTCTGGATGCCTCCCTGAAACCTGGGCAGCCAGGCCAGCTGGCAGAGACTCCGACTTCCATGCCCCAGAGGGGCTGCTGTTTAAAGTCTCTCACCCATGCCTGGCCGGCATAGCTCAGTGGTTGAGCATAGACCTAGGATCTAGGACATTGCAGTTTGCTTCCCGGTTGGGGCACATGCCCACGTTTCGGGCTCAAACCCCAGCAGGGGGCTTGCAGGAGGCAGCCAATTGATGACTCTCTCATCATTGATGTTTCTCTCGCTCTCCCTCTCCCTTCCTCTCTCTGAAATCAATAAAGACATATTTAAAGTCTTTCACCCAGCCCCTCCACTGCTGTTTGTGGTGACTAATTGCTCCTCAGGGCTTTTATTTGGGGTTTCTTTTTTTCAATCTCTATTGTTGAGAGTATTACAGATGTCCCCCTTTTTCCCCCATTGCCCCCTTCCACTCAGTTCTTGCCCCGCCCCAGTGCTTCACCAGTCTATTGTCTGNGTTGAGAGTATTACAGATGTCCCCCTTTTTCCCCCATTGCCCCCCTCCACTCAGTTCTTGCCCTGCCCCAGTGCTTCACCAGTCTATTGTCTATGTCCATGGGCAATGCATATATGCATGTAAGTCCTTTGGTTAAAGCAGGGCCACATCTGGGCAGCCTAAAGGACATTTGGAGACTCTGAATTGCAGTTGTCTCTGTTCACCTAAGTCCTCTTTGCTATGAATTAACTGATGATGCTGATGGTGATGATGGTGATGATGATAGTGTGTGCCTTTTACCTGACATTTGCTGTGTCCCAGGCCCCCTGCTGAGATCTTTACACACAGCATCTCATGCATCATAAATATTTATCTAGTGTTGACTATTGTCAGGTGCTGTGATCGGGGCTTCACATTTAGTCACTCGGCAACCATGGGGTTAGGCACCATTATTACCCCCATTTACAATGAGGAAACTAAGGCTCAGAGAGGTGAAGTGACTGGTCCACACTCACACAATAAGGGGCAGAGCCGCGATCTGGGCCCACATTGGATGGACACTGTGCCTGTGTGTGTTATCCAGACGCCTTTCTGCCTCCCCAGCAAAGCCTGCCATCTCTGCTGTCTTTAGTCTTTAGAGGACACAGGCTACAGAAAGCCCGTCCCACCCCTACCGAGGCACACCACCTGGGAGGAGACAGGCTGCCTTTGGCAAATTCTCCCCAGGGAGAAGTGAATTAGCCAGTTATTTTCTCTGGAGCTCAGCTGCCTGCTCCAGAGGAGGGCGAAGGCTCAGAGGTTGCTACGGGTGACATTGAGGTGCCCCACTCAGCAGCAGGGTAAATCTGCTGGTCTCTCTCTGCTGTCCTCGGAGCCTCCTCCTCATCTCATGGTGAGTAGCTGTGTGACCTTGGAAAAGACACTTCACTTCTCTGAGCCTTGGGTCTTTGTTGGACGAAAGCTCTGGATGAGACACAGTGCCCTCTCCCATCTCCAGAAGCCCGAGACCCCTGTTTATTGCTTGTTTTTTTTTAACTTCTTCGAAAGCCAGGCAAAACCACCATGTATTATATACGTTTGAAATTTCTATTCACCACACAGTCTAAGTGCTGTAAAACATCTGAAATGAGACCTCCATTTCAGAAAATTCAGTCTCTTTTTCCCTACTGCCTGAGTATAAAAATCGACTTTACTTGGCAACTGGAGAGACTTCCTGGCTAGAAAAGACCTTGAAAAGAACCTAGTCTGCTTTCCCAGGAACTGAAGCCCCCAAAGAAAAGGCTTCCCAGAGGACAACACCCTCGCTTGTCGGTTGCTTGTCGTGGGGTTTCTATACCTGCAGGAAGAACTTTCTGGTGCCTAAGCTGAATCCCTTATGAGTCATGCCTCTGAAACCCTTCCCCCTTGCCCTTTCTAACGTAGCCTGCGTCTCCATTCAGCCCCTAGATTCGTTCCTGGGCCGCCCACTGTGGAGGGGGCTGCCCTTGGCCGGCTGCCTTTCTGGCTCTTTGCCACCTGGTTTCCAGTTGAGTTCAGCCAATAAGAGGGACACCAGCAGAGGAGAAAGGTGTTGGGGACTTATCTTCCCTGGCTCCCTCTCTCCCTCCTCCCCAGTGATCCCCCAGGTCTCCTCCTCTCTTACCTGTCCCTCTCCTCTTGCCCTTCTCAGCCGGGGTGGCGACAGCCTCGTGCCCTTGCTGATCCATGAGCACTCTCAGAGTGTCAACCCGGCCTTCCCCTTCTCCCTCCCTGGCCCATAACGGCCACACTCCATTTGTGTCTCTTTCATCATCCGGCCCCTAAATTCCTTCATAGCACATAGCACCCTGTGTAAACATCTTCATTTATTGTCTGCCTCCCTCCGCTACCAATGTACCGCCACGAGGTCAGGGCTGTTGCTGTTCTTGTTTACGGCTCTACCCCAAGTGCCTAGGACAAGGCCTGGCGTGTGCTAGGTACTCAAAGAACATTCGCTGAACAAATAAGTTGGTGCAAGTAGCATGGCCACATGCACACCCCTGAGTGAGAGGGACCCGCAGCCAGCACTGTGCCCCTGTCTCTTGTTTTTGGCGGGGATGGGGGTGGGGGTGGAGGAAGTGTCCCGGAGAAGAGCCTTTCTGGGGAATCTCTCCTCACCAAGGCTGCAGCTGCCCCCTCTAGGCTGCAGTGACTCCCCTGTAAAATGAGGGCGTTGGATTAGCCTGGGGGGCACGTCTAGAGGCATTTTTGGTTTTCACGTTAGAGAGGCAATGCTATTGGCACCTGATGGGCAGAGGCCAGGGACACTGCTGGTAAGCATCTTACAGTGCAGGGGACAGCTCTGCCATCGCAGGGTCCCATCCCTGACCACATGTCAAGAGCGCCAAGGCCAAGCAACCCTGGATTCAGAGGTCCCCAAGGCATGCCCCACCCCCCTGATCCTAACCTGTGTTGAATTCTCCCTCGTGCCTCTTGCAGGATCTCGGTGCCTGAGACCTGGGCCAAGTTCAGTAATGACAACATCAGGCACTCCCAGAACATGCGGGCCAACTCCATCCGGCTGCAGGAGGAGGCCAAGAACCTCTTTGAGACCCTGTCAGATCAGATGTGGCAGCAGTTCACCAGCACCAACCTGGCTTTCACCGCCCGCATCTCCGAGGTGATGGACGTGAAGAATAAACTGCAGGTGCAGCTGGCCAAGGTCAGTGAGCGAGTGCGCCTGACGACCGCCGTCCACTCCGCCACAGCCTCGCCGTCCTCCCGTGCTCAGGGCAGCTTTCGGCCTCTGAAATGGTCCCACCTGATCCACAGTCTGTGAGCGCGTCCGGCCCAAAGGCGGGCAGGGGCTGTGAGCTTGCTAGGATTCCAGCCTCCAGGGGTAAGTCTTCCTTTCTCCTGGATGTTGGAGCTTGGAGCTTGGCCTGGCTGTCACCACAGCACCCAAAGGCTGCCGGTGGCCCCCAGGGCCGAGGGTAGGTGTGGATATGGGAGCCCCAGGAACTGGGTCTGAGCAGATCTACTCTGCTCACATCAGCATCTTTGAAAATGTGTCCTTTTGACCTTCAAAGGCTTTCACAGCATCGGGACCCCGTGCTGAGGAGTGGGGTGTTTTTTGAATTTGGGGAGTAGGTAGGACTGTCTAATTCTGTCACTATCTCCAGTGACTCCCACACTGACATGCCCCTTTCACGACTCCCTTACTCCGGTGCCTCATGCTGTTTCACACCTCTGGGAAGTTATTCTCTCTGCTCCATATAAACTGAGAGTCTGTTGGACACCAGAGCATCCTCCTGGTTCAACCTTGTACCCCCCACTGCTTAGGGTACTGCCTGGCTTAGTGTCCTACACAGTAGACATGCATTACGTCTGTGCCATGAATGAAAGGAATTACATTTTTTAAAAAATGATGCATCTTTCGTTCTCTTTTTAGTAGGGGAAATTATTTTTATATTATGGTAAAATATACATAAAAATTACTATTGTCTTAATCCATTGGACTAGTATCAGGAAAATACCATCGACTGGGTGGCTTTTAAACAACAGAAATTTATTTCTCGCAGTTCTGAAGACTGGGAAGTTCAGGATCACGGCTCCGGCAGACTCAGTGACTGATTCATAGACTTGTCTTGTCTTCTCCTTGTGCCCCTACAGGAAGGGCGCTCTGAGAGGTTTCTTTTATAAGGTCACTTACAAACCTGCCAATGACCTAATCACCCCTCAACAGCCCCATCCTTAGTACTATCACAATGGGGGTTAGGTTTCAACCTGTGAATTTGGGGAGATGCAAACTTTTAGTCCACAGCAGCCACTATTAAGAGTGCAATTCAGTAGTGTGAGGTACCTTCACGTTACTGTGCCACCATCACCACCATCCATCTCCACAAGTTTTTTTCACCTTCCCCAACTAAAAGAACAATAGTCCCCATTCCTCCTTTCCCAGCCCCTGGGAATCAACATCCTACTCTCTGTCTCTATGAACTTGATTACTTTAGGTACTTCATTTAGGTGGAGTCATGCAGTATTTGTCCTTCTGTGGCTGACTTTTTCGATTAGTACAATGTCTTCAAGTGTCACCCATGTTGTGATCTGTGTCAGAATTTTCTCTTTGTAAGGCTGAATAATATTGTCCATTGAATGTAGAGACTATATTTTGTTATTTATTCATCTGTCGATGGACGCTGGGATTGCTTCCACCCTTTGGCTGTCCTGTAAGCATTTTCTTTTAATGAGCATTTCATTGGGTGGATCAGATACATTTCGTTGTCATGTTTAATGGCACAAAGTCTGAGGCCTGGTGATGACTTGGGAAAGCTCCTTTGGTGGGTCTTGGTGGCCCACCTGTGAAACAGGGAGTAAGAATTCCTATTTGCCCTGCCCGGGTGGCTCGGTTGGTTGGAGAGTCATCCCATAGACCAAAACATTGTNAAGAATTCCTATTTGCCCTGCCCGGGTGGCTCAGTTGGTTGGAGAGTCATCCCATAGACCAAAACGTTGTGGGTTCAGTTCCCAGTAAGGGCACAGACCCAGGCTGCAGGTTTGATTTCCGATCAGGGCACAGACGGGAGGCAACCAATCAATGTTTCTCTCTCACTTCAATGTTTCTCTCCTTCTCCCTTCCTCTCTAAAAAATAAATTTAAAAAAACATATCCTTAAGTGAGGGTTAAAAAAAAGATTCCTACTTGATGACATTATTGTGGGGATTAATGAGTGGATCTCTGTGGAGCTTGTAGCACAGTACTTGGCACATGGTAAACACTCAATAAAAAGGTAACAAGTATTATTATTATTATCAGTGGAAAGGAAAAGGGTCCTTTGGGTAGAGGTGGGGAGCAAAACCTTTTCCCTTTTGAAATTTCTCTGGAGCAGTTTTGAATGATTACAAACAGCCTCATCGCTGCTGATCAGAGAGTTTTTGCAATCACATGGATTTTTATTAATAGTTGTTATATAAGCACCAGCTGCTTTGCAAATAAGCCTGCACCCATTTGAGATATACCGAACCCCAACAGGATGCTACTGCCAACACTGCCTGACCAAGGACTTGTCTTTGGCTTTTCTAAGATGGTAAAAGAAGGAGTTGATGTGATGAAGATAAATACATGGCAACCATTTCACCTTTCAGCAGTCGGCTTCTGCTGGAGGACTTGACATGCTCCCTTTAAAATTTTAACTGTTAATTGTTGGGCTTGGCCTGGTTCCCCTTGGCAAGAGGCATTTCTGGAAATTCTAGGCCCCCACCCTCACCTGTGCTGAAGCAATTAAATCATTGCCCGAGTGGTCATGGGAATCCACTTTGAAAGGCCTGGTCTACATAGCATCCCATGCAGACATGGAATCCCCTAGTGGCTTGGGAATGCGCAGACAGCCTTAGCTGTTCACCCTGATCCCGGGGTTCCATCCCCAAGGCCACACCCCAAACCTTACAACCTGTCTTGGGTCCCTGTCCTTTGTCCTTGTGCTTTGGGGTATCTCTTGGTCATATTGACCACCGTTAGAAGAGAGGCTGGTGACTTCTCTGGGCTGAAGCAGTTGACCACTGAGTGGGAGGCTGCCTTTGAGAACCGATCCCCCCTGACAGCCAGGGTCCTGGGGGATCTCCAGATAAGCATAAGTCCCCACCTGCATCCAGTTACCCAGCTGAGTGTGCCTTTTAGGGGGAGGACTCTAAATGTGGGGAAAAGATGCCAGGAGTTATGGGGAGGAGGTCTGGGGACAGGGACACTGCAATAGTGCAGCACTTATTCTAAAGTTGGAGGAACTCGACCCTGGCAGGGGAAATGATAGCAGGCGCATTACGTGGACACAGCGTTAATATCATTGAGTCACACAGTGAGGAAATCGTCCCTTCTTCAGCCCTTCTTCAGTCCTTGTGATGATCGCAAGAGGAAGGTCTTGATCGGAGGCTAGAGTGCCTCCCTCACCGCTTTGACACCCGCTGGCCTCCCTTTTACAGAGGGTGGACCTCAGGCCGGGACTCTGGGCAGGCAGCAGTGTCCAGCCGGAGCTGAAACAACATGGTTTTACTTTCCTCTTGTTTCATGCATTTTTATGGTGATTCCCACTTACGGCAAATGTTGCTGATTTCCCACTGAGGATAGTGATATAGAGTGTTATTTTTAAATAAACACATTTAAGACTTTTTAAAATGAATTTATTTGAAGAAAAGATTGTTAACCATGTTACAAGTGGTGTGAAGGGATATGGCAAACATGGTAGGACGGTCGGTGACACTTAGAAAACAGCAAGGTAGGCCTGTGTGTCTCAAGTATTACCGCATGAGCAGTGATCACCAGTATCACCTGGGACTGCATCAAAATGCAGATTCTGATTGAGCGGGTCTGGGGTCGGGCCTGAGAACCTGCATTTGAACTGGGTGGTAGGAGGTAGCTGGAGGGTAGGTTGTAGAGTGCTTTGGTTTTGACAAACATCTGGGTAAGCAGCCGTCTCCTTCCCTTTCCCTCTATCTCCTTCCTCTTTTCTTTTCCTTCTTCCCTTCCAGACTCAGACNGGTAAGCAGCCGTCTCCTTCCCTCTCCCTCTCTCTCCTTCCTCTTTTCTTTTCCTTCTCCCCTTCCAGACTCAGAATATTAGGAGAACCAAATCCTTCCAAAAGACAAACCTGGTCATCTAATTCTCATCAGATTTTCTCTAATTGCATTTTGCTTCCCAGCTTCCCAGCCAAGTCCAGTCATTCCTCCTGCACGGGATCAGACCAGCTTACCCCATCACACAGATGGTGCCTGATTTGTGCAGATGCAAACGCCCCTCTGGGGTTCCTGCCACCCCTCTGCAGTGTGTGCCTTTGAGTCAAATCTCATTTTCCCAGCTTGGTTGTTAATGTGATTGGAGCAAATGACGGTATTAGCTGTGAAATCAGGATAAGCCAGGAGCACAGCCTTGATCAGGTTGTCAGAATATCAGATAAACTGGATTTCTCTGCGTCTTCTCTGCAGCTTACCCCACGTGCTGCGGGCTCCCTTGTAGTCAGAGGCGGCCAACAGGAGGAGACAGCTTCACCCTCAGACTCTCACCCTCCCACCTGCTCCACTGGGAGCCCTCTCATCTCAGTCCGTGGCTCTGACTTCCAGGTGCTTCCAGGGGCTTCCAGGGGCTTCGACTTCCAGGTGCTCAATCCCAAACCTTGGAGTCCACTTAGATGCCTCTCTGTCTCCCAGCCCACATCCACTCCATCAACAGATATAATTGGTTCTACTCTCCGAATGCCATCACTTCTCACTCCCTCCTCTGCCTCCCCCTGGCCTGGGCCTCCACCACCTCTTGCCTGGATTACTGCTGTTGTCTCCTAACTGCTCTGTTTGCTTTTGATGTTGGCAACTGATTAGCTGGCTGCTAGTTACAGGGCATTTGATCCTTGAGTAGGCCAACTAGATTTACAGAGGAAAAAAATTCAATTACTTTAGATTCTTCAGAAAACCTCGAGAGTTTAGCCAGAGAGTGTAGGCAGCAGGCTCTCTCCGGGCGATGCCCGCTGTGTCTGCGGGTGACCATCTTCACCGCGGCCAGGCCACTCTGCACCCCCGTTGTCATGAGAATTTCTCAGCACCGCTCACCTTGGCAACCGCAGGGCCTCTCGAAACGCATGGGGCAAGGTGCGTTCCAAGTGAATGTTGACGGAGCGGTTTAAATCAGAGGATAAGCACAAGAAGTCCACATGTTATTTGGTTCCTCACATTTTTCTCT